GTAGTTAGATTACTAATTTAGATATAATCGATATATAACGATTGTCTTTGTTTAGAGCGAAAATATTTCGATTTCACTTCGATCTGAATCAAGTTTGAATGACTTTTCTTTTATAGAAACAGAACCACTTTCAACAAATAATATGTCTCTTTTCATAGAAGATAAAATACTTCAAAACATGTTCAATGAAAGTGACCATATAGATACCCAATAGATGATGTTTTATCTGAAGCTTTAGAAAGTAATCTTGATGACTATGAAGGGGCTTTATTTGATAATGCTTTTAATGACTTATATCATCCACAATCTATTGAGTGGCCTAACGATGCATATCGCGAATTTATGGAAATAATTAATACATATCAACTTTCAAATTCAGCAGGTAGAGAATGATACGTATCGTATATCTATGAAATTAATTAATATATATTAACTTTCAAATTCAGTAGGTGATGCTATTATAAAGCTCTTTAATAACTTCTCAAATTTGGATATTTCGCCGCTTCCATCATCAACAAAGGCTAGAAAAAAATTTCTTGATAATACTACTATTCCTCATATGATGTTTAAAGAAATTTTTATATTAACGTTTTAAGACATAGAATATACATTCTACTATCAATCATTAATTAAGACTATTAAGTCTTTATTAATGATCGATAGTATTAATCAGTCACTAGTTCTTCAATATGATGATAAAAAAGAAGTAAATAATAATGTAGAGTATCGAATTTTTGAAGAACAATATAATGGTAATTGGTGAAAGCGAGAAGAGTCGACATTACTTGTTGGGCAATGATTGCTATCGCTTATTCTTTACTCTGATGTGACAACTCTAGACCATATGGGTAAATCTTCTGGACATCCTATATTTGTATCACTTGGCAATATTCCAAACCATCAAAGAAATAAACCAGAATCCAAAGCATTAGTCAGATTCTTTTCAATTATAAAAGCCAAGGATAGTAAAACGAGAGATTCTGAAGATTTCCGAAAAATACAACGAGAACTCTTTCACAAGTGTATGTCGATTTTTCTCAAGCCTATTGTTAATGAGCTGGAGCTTCACTTCATTATACGTGGAAATATAATAACCTTTATTCCACGAATATCATTTATTATTTTTGATATGCTTGAAGCCAATAAGTTTGCTAACGTGTATCAATCATCTTCTGCAAGACGGCTATGTGGAAAATGCTTAGTATTAAATGATGACTTGAATAATACTAATTTAACAGACATAATTCCAAGAACTCCAACAACTATGAAGCAAGCAATAGATAGCCATTATAATTATTGTTATTCAATACATCCTGAAAAAAATGTATTTTGGGACATAAGGTATAAATTTTAGTTTATTGTTATTATATTTACTGTATAAATAATATATATTGTTATAAATAACAAAC